TCCTAACATTTCCTTTGGCCGCCAGGGAATTGGCAATCACACTCGTAAACAGCATATCACTTCGTACCTTGCGTGTGGTATGCAGCAAGCGTCATCACAAATGAAACATTTTTGCAAGAGAACAGCGGGGAGTAGCACGCACGGAGCGCGTACTCACCGTCAGTAGATTTCGATATCAAAATTCTGGTGCCGAATTTTTTCCTTGAACTCGGACACCTGTTCTTTAGAGACGAGCCAGGTGTAGAGGCAGCCGACCTCCTGCAGGTGCGGACACTCTGTAACCAAGCGGGTCATCACCTTACTCGTGATCGGCGAGTTGAGGACACGGATTTTGACAAGGTTTTCCCAGACACCCGCGTCCAGGAGCTGGCAGATAAGGCGGTCGTACAGAACATGTGGATTCTGAAGGACGAGCTCCAGAATCCGCATGTTTTGGCATTTGTTGAGGAACACCTTCAGGTCGTCCTCGGAAAGTTTCATGGAAGCCACCTGGAGGGTTCGGAGGGTCTTGAAGTACTGGATGTTCTCGGGTGCCAGGTGGTACGGGATGTCCTCCCCCAGCAGGTAGCCGTCCAAGCAGAGGCTCTCCAGACTCGGGCAATACTGAGCGAGGCACTGCAGGTGGTTGCGAGTGATGCTCAGCTTCTGCTGCGCGAAGCGCGTGTGGTACGTGTAGAGGAAGAGGTGCGTCATGCGGCCGCCGACCTGCTCCAGGAACCACACTAGCGCATCGCAGTTCACGTCAGCGAACTTTGCGCGCCGGAGCTTCTGAAGACGAGTCAGCTGCTGAAGCCGCGACAGGTCCATTTCCGAATTTCCGATAAACGAGACTTGGATGTATTCCAGGTTCGGGCAGAGGCTCGTGAGGACCGTCAATTGGAATTCATTAAGAATTTCACGCGAATGAAATTCTTTAAGATTGCATTGAACATTTTTATGATCAAGCGTCTGCAAGAACTTGAAAACCTTCTCCATCTTGATGTCCGGAACTCGCAGAATCTCAATATTGGTGAGAACGAGCAGAATGACAGCCACGCCTGCTTCCGTCACCTTCGTCATGGAGAATTTGATCTCCTTGAGGGACCGCGAGCAGCGCGAGCTCGGCTGCAGCCTCCCGCCTTTGCTCAGGACCTCGATGATGTCGCGGAGGCCGTCCTCCAGCCCGCACAGCCGCAGTACGCCGTCATCGTTGACGTCGTAGCAGCCTCGAAGGTCGATGCAGTGGAGGTGGTCGCAGGTTCTGGCCACGATGTCGATCATGTGGTTGTTGCAGAAGTCGGTGCAATTGAGGTAGGTGAGGTTGCCAAGAGTGTGCAAGAACTGGTAGAGGCGGGTGGCGCGCTCTCCGCAGCCGCCATAGAAGAGAGAGAGGTGCTCGAGATAGCTTCCGTCTGCCGTCTCAAGGACGCCCGACTGCACCACCGAACCGCTCGTTGACAGGCGACGCACGCGCAGACGCAGGAGGAGGCTCACGTGCGAGGGCGACGGCGTCATCTGCAGCCGCTCAGTGCTGGTCAGGAGGGCCTCACCTGCGGAGACAGCGAGGTTACCTCTCGAGGAAGAACTCAACCGCAAAGATAGATATATACATAGAAGAAAGAGGGGGGGGGGGGGGGATTTGATTTGATTTCAGGGGAGAGAGAGAGGGAGAGAGAGAGAGAGGTTAGGGAAAGGAGGGAGAAGAGAGAGAGAGAGAAGAGAGAGAGAGAGAGAGAGAGAGAGAGAGAGAGAGAGAGAGAGAGAGAGAGAGAGAGAGAGAGAGAGAGAGAGAGAGAGAGAGAGAGGAGAGAGAGAGAGAGAGAGAGAGAGAGAGAGAGAGAGAGAGAGAGAGAGAGAGAGAGAGAGAGAGAGAGAGAGAGAGAGAGAAGAGAGAGAGAGAGAGAGAGAGAGAGAGAGAGAGAGAGAGAGAGAGAGAGAGAGAGAGAGGAGAGAGAGAGAGAGAGAGAGAGAGAGAGAGAGAGAGAGAGAGAGAGAGAGAGAGAGAGAGAGAGAGAGAGAGAGAGAGAGAGAGGAGAGAGAGAGAGAGAGAGGGGAGGGAGAGAGAGAGAGAGGGACAGAGAGAGAGAGAGGGACAGAGAGAGAGAGAGAGAGAGAGAGGAGAGAAGAGAGAGAGAGAGAGGAGAGAGAGAGAGAGAGAGAGAGGAGAGAGAGAGAGGCAGAGAGAGGCAGAGAGAGAAAGGAGAGAGAGAGAGGCAGAGAGAGAGAGAGAGAGAGAGAGAGAGAAGAGAGAGAGAGAGAGAGAGAGAGAGAGAGAGAGAGAGAGAGAGAGAGAGAGAGAGAGGAGAGAGAGAGAGAGAGAGAGAGAGAGAGAGAGAGAGAGAGAGAGAGAGAGAGAGAGGTAGGAGAGAGAGAGAGGGGGGGGAGGGGCAGAGGGAGAAGAAAGAGAGAGGCAGAGAAGAGAGAGAGGAGAAGAGAGAGAGAGAGCACGAGAGGAGGGAGGAGAGAGGAGATCATGTTGAAGAGAGAGAGAGACAGAGAGCGAGAGAGGGACCAGAGAGGG